GAAAATATGAGTCTTTTTTATGTTATACACAGAGCCAAAACAATAACAAATAGGTAGAAAACCTAAAGCAAGTTTGGGGAATAAAGGGAAGATGCTCACCCTTGAAGAACCCTTGAAGAACAATGGCCTAACCTCCTTCTTTTGGATCAAAACCAGTCCAAAACTCAAGAACAACTCCCCAAGTCCCTCAATCTCGGACTAAGGTGTGAATAGTGTGTGTAATGGTGCAAAAGTAAGGTAAAACACACTTTTGGGCCAAGAAACACACACAAGAAGGGAGAGGGAGAGAGGAATAGATATAATATGTATCTATATCTTCAAAGGCTGGTTTTTGCTTCTGTTTTTCTAACTAAGAACAAGAGGAAAGCCTCCTCTTTAAGGATCCCTCTTGCAAAGCTATTCAACAAGCTTGGCTAGAGGGAAATCCCTCCTCTACACGTGTATGGAGGGGAAAGGAGTTTGTGCCAGTATCACAGCTGGCACAAAATATCTCCAAAAAGTGGAGGAACAGTGGTCGGCTGCCCAAAAAAAGCTATTCCGGCAAAAAAACAGTGCCGACCGGCCAACATATTATGTCGACCGGCAATACAGTGTGCCGACCGGCAAACAAAATTGCCGATGGAAGAAAAAGACCAGCGCGTGGCCTCCAGGCCACTGCCGTGTGTATGGGGATGTTCACAAGGCATTCCCTGCCCCTCTAAGGCAAAACAAAGTGTTTTGGTGCAAAACCAGACACTAAACAGCCGAGTTCGGGGATCCTGAGGCAAGGTGCGCGAGCCGAGACCTCCGGGACTCCAAACGAACACAATCATGGATGATCACCGAGTGTTCAAACGTGACGTCCAAGTCTTGAGAGGGTCAAAATGGGTGTGTCTACAAGTTGCCCCTCTTTGACGAGACTCGAAAGTCATGAACAATGACGGAGTGAAGTCAAAGCCCAGAGACGACCCATTTTTGACAAGGCCGAAGACTCAGACAACATAAAAGACAATAAGATATGCGCCCGAAGGCAGGGGCGAAATGCAGACAATGCAGAGAGTCCGAGCATAACTTATGATGCATGCGTAAAAAGCTGTAACGAAGCATACGATGCGACATTTTAAAGCTGCAATACCAATTACAACTACAATGCACGAAAGGATGTAGAGAGATTATGGAATTCTCAATACGTCTCACTCGGAGATGAAACTCACTGTGGCGGCATCGTCTAGGTGCACGCACTTTAAAGAACACCGACTGACAATAGTCGTGCTGCAAAGCAAAAACAGAACTTAACAGGTACAATATGTACGACAATGCATGACAATGCAAGAATAGTGGTGACTGCGACGAAGCGTTGCGTGACAGGCGCGAAGTAAATATGAGAGCATGACAATGCATTATTGAAAACAACTATGCAAGCCATGTAGCAGCGACGAGTGGTGATCCAGCACGGCTAACGCGAGAATAATACAGGCGGTCTGCTATCTAATGGGCGATGCTGACGGTTATGTTACAAGCCGCGTTCTACGCAGGCAGAACTGGAACTAGAGACTAAACGTCTAAATAACACGTGCGCGGTCTCTGGACGCAGTGGTAATGTCATGCGGTAGCAATATTGTTATATGAAACAGCGATCTACGCAATCTAAAACATGCGGGTTCTGCACGAGGTATGGAATTAACGCGATCTACGCATCAAAACATGCGGTCTAACGCAGGTAATGGAATTAAAATGCGATCTACACACGCAATCAAAACTATCCGTGCGTGTTATTCTCGCCTAGGCAAAATGGAATCTAACTGCGTCTACGCTCAACAGTGTTGATGTCTACGCTACGGTCAGGAGTAGGAATTAAACATTGCGATCTAGCGCAATCATAAACATGCGGTCTACGCGAGGTAATGGAATTAACATGCGATCCTACCAATCAAAATGCGGTCTACGAGGAATGGAATTAAACATGCGATCTACGAAATCAAAAATCATGCGGTCTACGCAGGTAATTGATTAAACATGCATCTACGCACATTCAAAACATCGGTCTACGCAGGTGAATGGAATTAAACATGCGATCTACGCAATTCAAAACATGCGGTCTACGAGGTAATGGATTAAAAACATGCGACTACGCAATCAAAACATGCGGTCCTACGCAGGAATTGGGAATTAAACTATGCGATCTTACGCAATAAAGACGACGCGGTCTACGCAGTAATGGAACGTACTATTAACACATAAATGAAACAATTTGGCGGGGCTCACAAAGCATGAAAGCGATACGGGGCGGGATCCATTCTTGCACCGATCGAGCGTGCTTGCAGAAGTTGTGGCTGGAGGTCACTCAAGTTCCAGCGTTTCAAAGGTGCGATTTCCCGAATGTGAGGTGCGTCCCGACAACGAGGCTGACCGAACAAAGACAACGGAAGGTGCGTTAACCACAAGGGGAGTTTTCTCGGTAATCAATTCTGATACTTGGCTACCCTGCCATTCTATCGTTTATTTACCTTTTTACTAGAGTTTAAGACATTGCACTGCTCAGCAGGTTTATTTCTTTCTCAAAATTCAACGCACTTCTACAAACATGTGGATGGAATGAAACGAATCATTT